GTATATGGGTGGATAGATTGGTGGACAGGCTGAACTATTAGGTATGCCTATGAAGTGGGGAGTGCACCCAAGAACATGTATAGGGTTGGCAGACAATGGTCCTACAACTTTATGTGTATGATCTGAATTCCCAGGTGTATAGTGGAGCTACAAGGGGCAAGGTTGTAGTCACTGCTTGGTCACAACCAGCTACCCAGAGGGACCGAGTAGTTGAACCTGTGGGCTTGGGACCATAGTTGCAGAGGACATCAAGCTCAATTGGCCTAACATACTATACAAAACATTGTCCACCTCCTACTTTGGCGAGTAGCGATTTGGATCTTAAAAGCTTGCAAACTGCCATCTAGATGCAACGATGGGTCTCTCCTCATCCAGAGCAAAGAAGAATGAAGAAAACCAAAATTTCATGGAAACAATTAGTACTAGTGACTGGTACACCATCTGATCTGCAACCTATATGACTATGAGACCAGAAGAACTAGATGGTGCCCAGCTACTACTGTCAACCACTTGGAAGAGGATCTATGTAGGAGATCCTTGATAGAGAGGGAGAACAATGTGGAACAAAACTCAAAATCATTTGGAAAAAAAAAAGGGGGGACCAGGTTTGCTGGTCTGACAGAGCCTGGTGGAACCACTGAGACTATGGCCCCTAGCTGCCCTTCAGGTCTGGAATTGAACCCACACTTGTGGCTTCCAACCAAACAATAGACAAGCATATGAGTTGAACATTTACCTGAGGTAGATACACTCCTTGGAGAGAACAAGCACGGGAGAAAGAAGGGCTGCTTATGCACAGGGAGATAGCTCAGTGGGCAGGAGTGCATGGAGGGATGGACACAGGGAAGAGGTAACTATCGGGAGGAAGTAGGAGGAGAGATGTTGCATTGTGGTAAATTGTATTCTAATTAGTATTAGTATTCTAATGTCTCAATGTCATGAGACAAAGTGTATGTGAACTGTTGTATGGAAAGTGTATTTGCTCTGTAATTTTTCAGCCAAATAACAATTAAAAAAAAAAGGTGGGGCGGGGGGAGTTGGAAATAGAAATACCATTTGATTCAGCAATACTAGTACTAGGAATATATCCTAAAGAGGTGAGACCCGGGACACAAATAGATATATGCACATCTATGTTCTTTGCAGCACTATTCACAATAGCAAAGAGATAAAAACAACTTAGGTGCCCATCAACTGATGAATGGATAACCAAACTATGGTACATACATACAATGGAATACTATGCAACATTAAAGAATAATGAAGAATCCGTGAATCATCTCATGATGTGGATGAACTTGAAGGGCATTATACTGAGTGAAATAAGTCAATCACAGAATGACAAATACTGTATGAGTCTGTTATTATAAAAAGTCAAGGAAAGGTTTATACAGGGAAGGAAATTTTCTTTACTGGTTACCAGAGGTGGGAGCTCTGCTGGCATAGTGCCTAACGCATCTGACTGCTAACCAGAAACCTGGTGGTTTAAATCCACCAGCCACTCCTCAGAAGAAAGATTGGGCAATCTACTTCTGTAGTGATACTGCCTAGGAAACCCAAGGAGGGGTTGCTATGAGTTGGATCAGACTCAACAGCAGTGGGTTTGGTTTTTTTGGTTTAGAGATGGTAGGGGAGGGAAAATTGCTGACTAGTTAAAATACATGTATTGATTTGGGTGAAAGGAAAGGTAATATAACAAAAGTGGTGACCAGCACAACATCACTAAGGAAAAGGAAGACAGAGAGAGGTACAGACAACAAAGGTAAATAGTATTACATATATAAGATAGCTTTATCAGTAATAACAAACACTAATCTACAGGTAGATACATAGGTAGACAGGCAAGAAGATCAGGTATGTATGTGTAGGTGAACACATACACGGGAATATACCCATGAGCAAACATGGGTCTGGCAGATGATACTCCCACACATGTATTTGTATGTTATAAAAATGTCCATGCACATTATAGAGATAACAGAGGACAAAGTTAGGATAACTTCTTAGCCACAACCAAGTACTTTGTGGGACTAAGTCACTAGGCCTGTGGATTCAGGAACATGGCCTGCCATGGCAGACATCAAGCTCAACTGGCACAACAGAATACACAAAAACAGTGTCCTATATCTGACTTTGGTGAGTAGTGACTGGGGTCTTAAAAGCTTGATGCAGCTATTAGTTTCTCCTCGCCCAGAACAAAGAAGGGTGAAGAAAATCAAAGACATATGGAAACAATTAGTCCAAGGGACCAATGGACCATGGGAACTTCAGCGTACATGACCCTGAGACCAAAGAACTAGATGGTGCCTTGCTACCAATGCCAACCACTCAGAAAGGGATCACAACTGGAGATCTGGACAGAGTAGGAAAATATTGTGGAACAAAATAACAAACAAACAAAGACCAGGATTACTAGTCAGGTAGAGACTGGTGAAACCCCTGAAACTATGGCCCTGAGTCCCCCTTCGGGCCTGGAATTGGATTCACTCTTATGCCTCAACTCTCAGCCAAACTACAGACAGGCCCGTGAGCTGAAGCATTACACCAAGGAGATGCATTCCTTAGAATAGTCAACTGTGGAAGATCAGAAGGGCAGCATGTGCACAGGGAGAAAGCTAGGGAGGCAGGAACGCATAGGTAAGAAGGATATAGGGAAGGGCTACCCACAAGGAGGAGATGGGAGGAGAGCTATTACATTGTAGGGATTGTAATCAGCGTCACAAAACAAAATGTTTATGAACTGTTGAATGCAAAATGAATCTGCTTTATAAAACTGTACCCAAATCACAATAAAAAGTTTTTTTTTTTTTTTTTTTTAAAAAAGAATGTATGCTTGAACTCAGGTTCAGTGGATTTTGGGTTTCTCATCCTTTGGGTTAACTGCTCTGAGGAAGGGATCACAGAAAGCTAAATGCAGTTTCTCAAAGAAGCTGGTGGCGTTTCCTGCCAGGCTGGCTTGCACTCATTCTTTTGGTCACATCCCTTCGGAAACCACTCCCTGCCATGCTCCTCCCTATCATTCAGGTGTGGCTGACCATACCTCCAGAAATGAGCATATCACCTAGGCCCAGCCAATAAGAGCACAGTGATTGGCTTAGAGGAAGCAAAGCATGAGTGCCCAGGGCTCTTCCTCAGCCCCTGAAAAGGCATATCTTTCCACTGGAGGAATGGAAACATCTGCTGCCATCACTACACTGGGAGGGCCAGGCTAAGAATGAAGCAGGAGAGAGAGAAGTGAAGTTGAGACCCTAGAGAGATCCCAGATGACATCATCTAGACTTCAGTGACACGAGCCAAGAACTCCCTCTGTATTTGGGCTGAGTGGCCATCATTTGTAACTGAAACAGTCTGGATTGATGGTTTTATTGTAAAGTGAAGGGGTCCTCTTTTATGGTGTTCTTATCCAGTCATCCCCTGACATTTCTTTTGTCCATTTCTGCTGATCCATGGCCTCTCCTCTAGCCCTGACCACGTGAGCACTGCAGACTGCAGATGGGATGAAGAATCGGCCACTATGCCTGGAGAGTGGCTCTTACCTGCATGTTGTTCCAGGCAGCCTCCCCACGGCCCCGCACACAGCTCTCTAGCCTCAGTGGGGAGCCCAGGGCCCCGTGCTTTGTGTCTGCGCACAGCCCTGTGCCCATATTGCGGATCTGGAAGAGAAGCGGGGAGGAGAGGACCAGTGAGGCACCTCAAGGTGCCTATCTGGGCCCCTGCAGGGCGGAGGGAAACAAGGCAGAGACATTAGACGGGTTAAGCTCTGAGTTGTCTTCATGTAGCTTGTCCTGGGTTATTGGAAGTACCGGAAATCTCTCAGTAAAGGCACACAGAGCAGCTCCTCAAAACACTGGTCTGTTCAGAGCATCACAGAGTCACATGGTGGTGGGATACTGTAGGTGACAGACTGTTGAAATGCAGACTCCCTGGCTCTGTTTCCAAAGAATTTGGTTCAGTAGGCTAAGGAATCGTATCTTGTCCCTGTTAACGATTTAATTGTACCCTCCGCCCCCCAAATATGTGTTGATTTCCTGGCCCTTGAACCTGTGGATGTGATCCTGTTTAGAACAGTGAGGTTTTCTTCTGCTATGTTAATGAGGTCATATCAGTATAGGGTGGGTCCTAAATCTAATCCATTCTGAGTTATAAAAAGACCAGAATAGACAGAGACCCAGAGGGGAAGACAGATGCAATGTGAGGATCATCTATAAGCCAAGGAATCAAAGAATGCCTGAGGCTACTGTTAAGGAAGGAATCAACATGGCTGATTTGGACTTTTAGCATCCAGAATTTAAAAAAACAAAAACCCAGTTCTGTTCTTTAAACCTACCCACTTGTGGCATCTGTGTTACAGCAGCACTAGGAAACTAAGACAGCCCCTATTGTAGGTGACCCAGGTGCAGGTGGTCCATGGACCATACTTTGAACACTGCCCTGATTAACTGGGGGTGCTACAGGTCTGAGAGGTCATGCTTTCTGTTCAAACCTGAACTTGCTTTGAACACACAAAGGAGGCCTGATAGTATTGTAAGACTCGAGAAGGACTGAGGAACCCATATAATTTTTTACTCATTTCCTTCCCTGGATTAGCCAATCAACACACAGCAAATGATGCCAAAGGAGGACAGGAAAGTACATAGGTCCTTTTCCTTTCAGTCCTTCCTCACTCATCAGTAAGCCCAAGGTAGAGAATGTTGGAGAATGTGCACATTCTCAAGAAGTGAAATAAAAACAGCTGAGTTACTTTTGTGTAGTGTTTCTATTGTTCTGGCAAGATTGAAATACATATGCATAGATGAGGTATGACATACAGATTGTGTAATGTCAGCAATTTCACATGTGAGTTAAATGCTTTTATATTTGCGTTGAAAACTGGTGATGCATAATATAAAGAGGAATGGTAAAATTCATGCTAATATCTTAAAGTTGTAAGTTTTTTTTTTTTCACTCAGTACATTAAAGAACAAATAAAAAACACCACCTGAAGTTGAGAGAGAGAGAGACAGAGAGAGACAGACAGAGTGACAGAGACACCATGGAAGAAAGGAAAAAGTTTTCTATTTTATACTTTAACGGCAGCTTTTTCCTGTCTGTGAACAGTCTGTGTGTTTATTTTTCCCTGGGCCCCTGCAATGCAGCCCACCCTGTCCTGCAGGCTCACCTCCCCCCAGGCCGCTGCTGGAGGCTCCACGGGTGGGTAGAACTTGGGCAGGTCCCAGGCGATCTTGGTCATAAACCACTTGAAACTCTTGCAGTTAAGTGAGCTGCGGAGCTTCTTCTGGGCAGCTACATCCCCAGCGGAGAGGTGGCGGTATTCAGGCCGGCGCTGGTAAATGTACTCAGCATACTCATCCATCCACACCTCTGCCACTCGCTTAAGGTTCTGGAAGATGAGAGGCAGGTGGAGGGTCAGGGCTTCTGAAGCACCAAGGCCAGGGGTGGGTGCAGAATCCTGGCAGGGAGAGGTCAGATTTTTCATATTATGTTGTGCCTGAGACCTCCAAGACAGAAAAAAAAAAAAATCTCAAGGTTTCTGAGGCCATCTGTGTGATTTCAGGGAGTCCTGGTGGTACAGTGGTTGAAGTGCTTGGCTGCTAACCCAAAGTAGAGGTTTTAGGAAGTCTGCTCTTGGTGGCATAGTGCCTAAGGCATTTGACTGCTTACCAGAAGGCTGACAATTCAAACCCACCAGCCACTCCTTGGAAGGAAGATTGGGCAATCTACTTCCATAGTGATACCACCTCGGAAACCCAGGTAAGGGTCACTATGAATCAGATCTGACTTGAGACAGTGAACTTGGAACGTGCCTTCCGTAAAGATTTATACACCCTTGGAAACCTTATGGGGAAGTTCTGTTCTATCTCATAGGGTTGTTATGAGTTGGAATTGACTTGACAGCAATGGGTTTGTTTTTGGGTGATTAATGCTTGGCTGCAAACTGAAAGGTTGGTGGTTCAAACCCACCCAGTGGCTCCACAGGAGGAAGACCTGGCAATCTGTTCCCGCAAAGATTATAGCCTAGGAAACCATATGAGGCAGTTCTAGTCTGTCACAAGGGGTCACTATGAGTCAGAAATCAACTCAATGGCACCTAACAACAACAACATATTCTTTTTTTTTTTTTTTTTTTAATTGTGATTCTTCTTTGGTCTGGACGAGGAGAGACCCATCATAACTACATATTTTTTCCTCCTATTCTGAAGGTCTTGTATTTCAGAAGGTGCATTTTATAGATTCAAAGAGCTTTCAAAAATCAAAAGAAAGAACTTTAGTCATGGATATTCTGGTGCCTTGCCAAGGAATGGGTAAGTTATATTACTGGACAAGCTTCTTCCCTTATGCTCAAATAATTCTAGAAGGATCAGCACAAGGCTGGTCCCTATGAGGCTGTGGTTAAAGATGTCCCAAATGTCCAAGTTTTCCAAACTGCTGTATCACTCCATCATTTCTAACATCGACTCTTCCTCCTCCCCTCAGTACTCTCTCTCCTGTCTTAGGGTTCCATGTTTCAATGTAATGGAAATGGCTCACACAGTAGTAGAAGCTGGCAAGTACCAAATTCATGGGTCAGGCTTCAGTCTGAAGGATTTTCCTCACTCATGTGGTTGCAGGCTGACAAATCTAAATTGCCATATCAGGCAACTGGCTGTTGTCTCAAGTACCAAGAACGAGGAGTGAGATGATGATTAACCAGATGCAGGATCCAGAGCAAGAGAGTAAAATTTGCCATAGCATTCATATACATATCCTCAGGGAAACTAATGTTGGTGACTTGAGTTATACCCTCTAATAAGGCAAAACTCAAGATACATCCCACCCTAGTGCTACCTCATCAACACAACAGACAATGCATCCCAAAATGGGACCATATCCTAGGCATAGAGGCTAGGATTGACTATACATCACAAAATGGATGACTATGCCTAGAAGGGCCATATTAAGCAATTCACTGCACTGCCTCTTCCATCACAGGTCTTGGGAAGCTGACAAAACTGGCCTTAACATTAATTTATTTCATTATTGACTCATTCAATCATTACAAGTATCCAATACTCATTATATACTAGACATTGTGCTGGATTCTGGGGTTACAGTGGTGAATGAGCAAGTAATTACAAGAGTGAACAGTGCCAGAGGACTGCAGAGAGCTCTAAGAAAGGATATATAACATGGGACTCTAACAGTTGGTAGCAAATCTATAGAGATAGAAAATAGATTACTGGTTGCCTAGGACTGAGGGGTTAGGGGAAATAGTGAGTTAACTGCTAATGGATACAGAGTTTCTTTTATGGTGATGAAAATGTTCTAAAATTGACTGTGGTGATGGTTGCACAACTCCAAATACAGGAATACTAAAAACATTGACTTGTACACTATACATGGATGAGTTGTATAATATATGAATTATATTTCAATAAAGCTGACAGATTAGAGATCAAGCTGAGATATATATGACCGTATATAT